ACTGCTCCCAACAGCCCCCTAAGGAAGATCCATTTTACAGCAGGACACGGAGGCACAGAGAAACCAGAAGTCTGCTGGCTTAGTTCTCCGGTGCTGCGCTAACAGAAATACCGCCGGTGGATGACTTTAACAAATGGAAATTCATTTGCTCACAGTGTAGGAGGTTAGAAGCCCAAGTCTGGGCGGCAACTCTGAGGGAAGGCTTGCTCTCTCTCTCGGTTCCAGGGAAGGTCCTCGTTTCTTCAGTTTCTGGGTCCTTAGAGATCTTGGTGGCGGCCGTCTCGGCTGTTCTGCTTGCCTCCTCTGCTATTTCACACCTCCAGTGACACTGACTTAGGAGCTCTCGTGGTGTAGTGCCTAAAGCACTTGACTGCTAACCAGAAGGCTGGCCACTCCTTGGAAGGAAGATGTGGCAATCTACTTCCATAGTGATACTCCTGGGAAACCTAAGGAGGGGTCGGGCAGACTCATGGCAAATAACAACACCACAACAACAAACGACACTGACTTAAGACACACCCTACATTGATACTGCCTCATTAGCATGAAAAAGAAAATCCTGTTCCCAAATGGGATTATAAACACAAGGCATAGTCAGCTTTACACCATAGTTCAGTCTGTAACCCCTGCTAAAGCACGCAGCCAGGAAGTGGCAGACCTGAGGTCTTACCTTCTGTGACATTCTGCCTCTTTTCAAAGGCAACCACCAATGCCTTGTTTGGGGCAATGGTGTAGTAGTTGTGGGCAATCTTTATGGAAGCAGAGTGCCAGGTCTTGCTTCCGTGAGGCCACTGGGTGGGTCTGAACCACCAGCCTTTGGGTTAGCAGCCAAGTGCTTAATCATTTGTGCTATCAGTTGCTGTGCTCCGTCAAGTCAGTTCCAACTCATAGTGAACCTACAAAGTGCCTACAAAATCTTATTTCTTGACCATAATAACCAGGGTGGTGAAGACTGGTGTGCATAAAGAGCTCACAGTCTCTGAAGCTGAAGAATCTGAGCTTTTGATTGTTCTCTTTCCCAGTGGTGAGTCAGTAGTCTCACTCATCTCCAGATCCTTATTGGTGACACCTTTAGGCTTAGCAGCAAGCCTTTGATGCTCTGCACAGAACAATAATCCCCTGATTCTGAGCCAAGACAGGCTTTGGGACAGGAGCGTTTTCAACAGAAGCTCCTGTCCAAGGATAGAGAGCCATAAGCACTGCACATACCGATCCTCGCTGGAGAGGGACAGACACTGGGCAGTGAGCCTGACTGTATCCGCATGGGCAGCTGCTCCCGTTGGGCAGCGAGGGCTGGGGGAGCAGCGGGGAGGTGGAGAACATGTTAGTGCATTGCACACGTTCCTAATGCTCACAATTATAAGTTCTAAGTACCCCTTTTTCTAAAGCTATTGTAAATGTGTGGTGCGTTTGAGAGACAGCACCTGACTTGTACCTGGACCCTGTAAAGAGCCTTTAAGTTCATTTAACAAGTGCATGCCACTGCCTCACTTTACACAAGTGGAACCGCAGCCCAGTGACAGAACCAGGATGACAGCTTAGGCCTGCCAGCCACCTTACACAGGATTTGAACACAGTTCCTTCTGGCCCCAAGCCCTCTGCTCCTTCTACTCTTAATATTTGAGATGTCCCAGTCTTAGTGCAGGGCTAAGCTTCATGTAGCTTAAAACTCCTCTGAGACTTTGGGGACAGCCTTCATTGTCTCACCCTTTCAGTGAAATGTCACTGTGTCCTTCCACTAGCAGTCCAAGCACGGGGTCCTTCTGTCCTCTGGGTTGTCTCACGACTGGCCAGAGACTGCGGTTGGAGACTCACTGTAGATGCACTTCACACATACGGACGAGAGCTCCACAGGGAAGACTCTGCACTTAGTGGCTGTGGCAGAGATTCCTTCCAGAGGGGGCCTCCCTGTTGCTGTGCCATGGGCGGTTCCTGCTCATCGGGACCCCGTGTGACAGGGTAGAGCTGCCCCTTGGCGTTTCCTAGGCTGTCATCTCTACACAGCAGATTGCCAGCTCTTTTCGTTATGGAGCGACTGCTGGGTTTCAACTGTCAACCTTGCAGTTAGCAATCGAGTGCTTAACCAGTGTGCCACCAGGGCTCCTTGGGATCTTTCTATATTGTGGTGACATTTTTGTAAAAATGGATTCTTTACATAAGTTTTCAAGAATTGTCTATGGTGTGAGAAATACTAAAAATACTAACAACACAATTGTTTGCTTTTTGTAAAGCACACGAAAATTAGAATCCACTGCACACTATCCCTAAAAACAGGAATTAATAGAAATCAGGGGGGATTACCCAATAAGCAGGTTAAGCACAAGCTGACTTGTGCTTACTAATCTACAGTCAACATCAGTGGTGAAAAACAACATGTGAAACTGTGCCCTACAGATTAGTGAATAAGCACAAGTAAGCCTGTGCTTACCTTGCTTGCTGGGAATTCCATCCCTGTCAGGGATTGCATATTGGACAAGAGTCTTTGATTCTGTAGAGGGGTCCGGTGGGGTTGGGAGAGAGACAGATGCCAGCCATATCTTGAAGCAGAGTCTTTGATGTGGTGGAAAATATGTGAACTTGTTCACTACAGATTAGGAAGGAAGCACAAGTAAGCCATGCTTAGCTTGCGTGTTGGGTAATCCGACACAGAACCATCCACTGAGCCACAGCACAGCGCGGCTGTTTGTCCTGATGTGTCTCCATCCCCAACAACGTGGGCCTTCAGCGTCAATCAAGCCTCATCTTTGGGAACCTCCTGCCTTTCTGGTGGCTGTCACGTGTTACCAGGGTCCTGGAGATCCTCACTCCTCCTCCCCGTTCTCCCCACACCCACCCACCGCCCGTTTCCGCAGAATAGGCTCTGGGTGCAGTGGGCCTGCACAATCTCCTGGGGCTAGAAGCGAGGCCCTGGGAGACAGATACGTGTCCCAGGCGAAGGTCAGCCGCAGGAGCCGCAGCTCCATCTGTAAAAACCTCCGCTTCCCATCCTCGGCTCCTTTCCCTGCCCGGTCCTGAGGCTGCAGCGTGACAAGAGCTCAGAGGCTCCCCGGCGCCCCCTGGTGTGCCCAGACGGCGGCCGGTGCATCAACAGGAAAATGCACCCACTCGTGGAAGCAGAAAGCAAGCCTCGTGGACTGGGGGTTGCAGCCAAGACCAAGCGAAGGGCAGAAATGTTTGGAGATGACCTTTTTCAAAACGTTCACTAAAAAAATATTGTTGCTGTTGGTGGTGTTTACCCTGTAATCAACTCCGACTGGTGGCGACCCCACGTGTGCCTAGAAGAACTGCTGCATAGGGTTTTCAAGGCTGTGACAGTTGGCAAGTAGGTCACTAGGCCTTCCTTCCAAGGTGCCTCTAGGTAGGTTCAAACCACCAACCTTTTGGCTAGTAGTCAAGAGCTTAACCATTACCTGTCAGTGCCACCAGGAACTGCTTTTTTTATATCAAGGCCAGACTGTGTATTTTATTCTGAAGTGACCACTGTGCTAGCAAGCCGGGAAGGCTCGGGTCTTCCCTCCTAGAGCAGTTTCCAACAAAAAGCAGGAGGCCATGGCCCTATGAAGGACCCGAGTGGGGACAGGCTGGCAAGCGAGCTTTGGCTGAGTGAGACGTGCTCACGGAGCACCAGGACAGTGAGCTTGGACACAGTCCCAGATGTCTCCGAAGTAACCAGGGTGGTGAGACATTTAACAATGATGGTAACTGAGGAAGAGCTGATGGAATTGGATATACTGGCCCTTGAGAGGAGATGTTGAGGGACATGAGGACTGTGAGAGGGCGTTCCTTCCCAGGCCACAAGTGTGGGGCATTTGGTCTAATTTTGTACCTGGCTGAC